TTCGTGGCCCCATCGGGAGCTCAACCGAAGGCCCCAGTGGCTGCGCCCGCATGCGGTTCCACCCCCCATTCTGGCACACCCCTCACACGTTTCGTGGCCCCATAGGGAACTCCACCGAAGGCCCCAGTGGCTGCGCCCGCATGCGGTTCCACCCACTATTCTTGCACACCCCTCACAGGATTCGTGGCCCCATAGGGAGCTCCACCGAACGCCGCAGTGGCTGCGCCATTGCGCCCACCGCACCCACTTCGGCACACCCCTCCACACGTTTCGTGGCCACAAGGGAGCTCCACCGAAGGCCCAGTGGCGCGCTCCCATGCGCCCACCGCACCCATTTCGGCACACCCCTCACACGCTTCGTGGCCCCAATAGGGAGCTTCCAGCGAAGGCCACGAAGGCTGCGCTTCCCATGCGCCCACCGCACCCATTTCGGCACCCACCCCTCATACGTTTCGTGGCCCCGTAGGGAGCTCCACCGAAGGCCCCAGTGGCTGCGCTCGCATGCGCCCACCGCACCCACTTCGGCACACCCCTCGCACGTTTCGTGGTCACCGCACAGATTTCCGCACACCCCTACAGCGCCATCGAAGAAGATATTCACAATTGCGGTACTCGCAACTGCATCTGGTTGGGTCCTTCGCCCGGATAATTGTATGTGTCATTTTTCGTTGAAAATCCCGCTGTAGGGGGACAGGCCCGACTTAACCCTGGTTTTTACATCGGGCCTGTCCCTCTTTACAGGGGGAATATTCAAGAATAGTCACAAGTAGTCTGCGGTTATGATGCTCCAACCTACTTTAGCCTTGGTCGCCAGGAAGAAGTTCGAGCGCCCGAAAAGGTACCGAAACTCAGGGGTCTTCACGTGTCGGGCCCCGGGAGACATTCGCCCGACATTGTTTCGACACTCTTTTGGCACTTTTCCGGGTGCTCGAAATTATTTCTGGGATGCGGTCCTTAGTGGGATGGGAACACCATAAGTCCGGGGGCGTACATTTTCTGACCATTTTGGAGCATGTTTGGGGTATTCTTGATTTTTCGTCGACAATCCCCCTGTGAGGGGGGCACGCCCGACTGCACCCTGGCGGCGGCGAAAGCAGGGGAGAGCCCGGAGCCCGCCCCCCCCGCGCTGTGCAACAAAAAGCACGGCGCGAGGTTCTTCGCCATTCTCGGCCGTGGGGGGGGGGGCCTCCCGCGCTGTGAACAAAGAGCAGGGGAGAGCCCAGAGCCCGCCCCCCCCCGCGCTGTAAGAAGAAAGCGCGGCGCGAGGTTTTTCGCCATTGTCGGCTGCGGGGGGCCCTCCCGCATTGTGAACAAAAAACAGGAGAGAACCCAGAGCGCCCCCCCCCCGCGCTGGGAACAAAGACGCGGCGCGAGGTTTTTCGCCATTCTCTGCTGTGGGGGGCCCTCCCCGGGCCTCGGGGCCGTCAAGAAACGACACGGGATGAGGAGCCGGTCCCAGGGAAGGGGTCCGGACCTCTGAGGGTCGCGTCGTGGAGAAAGCATGACGTTGGGGGATCTGGGACAGGAAGGAGGGAACGATGTGTGAGGGTGGCTTTGCATGCCTCTGGAACTCGCCGAAAAGCGGCAAGAACGGCAGCGCGAGTGGCGACGGCGACGGCGGCCCGAATCCTTTATTCCTTTAGCAGGTGCACGGTGTCTCTGAGAGCGGCTGGCAAGTCGAGGATCTGCATTCCTGTCCCTTGTGCCGCCGCCTTCTCCTCGGCTCCGACCGACTTAGGCATGCAGGCAGGGATGGAGGCAACCTCCAAGAACGCATGGAAATTGTTTTGAAAGCCTTGGGAAGCTCCAGGGTATTCGGCGTTCCACGAAGGCCTGGATCGGGGAGGCGAAAGACTCGAGTAAGCCGGAGCCCGGGTTTGCCGATACGTTTTTGGACGAGCGCGTCCTCGATCTTTTGACGGTCTGGTTTTTGCGGGAGGTCTGCAGCGGGAGTTCGCTTCAAATTCGAGATCCGGCCTCGTCATTTTCATTGGTGGCCCCGCCAGACCAGCCCGAGTCTTCAGTCGGGCATGTCCCTATAGAGGAGGAATGTTCAAAAACAGTCTAAACATAGTCTCGGTACGCTTTGTTTGTTGTGCTAATTTTGTTTTGATTATTTTTCACAATAGTGTAATATATGTTTCTGCTTTTTGTTTGAAGTGTTTTGTTTTGCTATTTGTCACTGTTCCTCCAAAATCCGCCCCTAGCGGGACGTGCCCGACCTCGCCCGAGCCCCCCGAACCCGAGCCTTACGTCTCCCCGACGGGAGGGAAGGCAGGGCGAGGGCGGGGCCCGCCGCCTCTCGGCGCCCAGGCGGCGGCGCAGAGCGTGGGCGGGGGGGCTCCCACTGGCCCGTGGCGAGCTCGGAGGGGGGGGAGAGGAGGGGGAGGGGGAGGAGGAGGAGGAGGGGGAGGAGGAGGAGGGAGGATGAGGAGGAGGAGGAGGAGGAGGAGAGGAGGAAGGAGGAGGGGAGGAGGAGGAGGAGGAGGAGGAGAGGAGGGGTAGGAGGAGGAGGAGGAGGAGGAGGAGGTAGGAGGAGAGAGGAGGAGGAGGAGAGGAGGAGGAGGAGGAGGAGAGGGGTGGAGGAGGAGGAGGAGGAGGAGGAGGAGAGGAGGAGGAGGAAGGAGGAGGAGGAGGAGGAGGAGGGGGGTAGGAGGAGGAGGAGGAGGAGGAGGAGGAGCGAGGCACCGGGACCACCCCAACCCCACCCGAAGGCCCCGATGTGCCCGCCGTTCCCAGACCTCCCCTGAGGCACGGCAAGAAATCATGACGCCAGGTTCCTCGCTATCTTCGTCTTCTGGGGGCCCTCACCGGCCCTCGGGATCGTCCAAAATTGACTCGGGATGAAAAACCGGTCCCGGCGAATGGGTCCAAACCTCTGGGGGTCGCGTCATGGCAGAATCATGACGTCGGGGGTCTTGGTTTTCAGTGGGGGTTGGGTCGGGGAACATAAACACACGCACACATACCCGGACGTCCGACGCCATGATTTTGTCACGACGCAACCGCCAGAGGTCTGGACCAATCCCCAGACGTCCGACGTCATGATTTTGTTACGACGCAACCGCCAGAGGTCTGGACCCAATCCCTGGGACCGGCTCTTCCTCCTGAGTCGTTTTCTGACGGTCCCGAGGCCCGGCAAGAGGCCAAAAATGGCGAAACAAATGCCGTCGTAATTTTGTCATGTCTCGAGGGGGTCTGGGTACGAAGCCCGTATCCGCCCCCAACCCGAAATTCGGATCTTCTGGTTGGGTTGGGGTGGTCTGGTACCCTGAGATCCGCCGTTGCAGAAAGATTGCAGCACCGCAAAAAATCATTATCGTCGCCCCAGACCCCATCTTTCTGCGCCAGTTCCCGAGCCATATCTATTTGTAAGTGGTGCGAAAACGCCCGTTGTAAAAAATTGCAACGCCAGGATCTCAGGGCAGGTTCAAGTCGGGCGTGTCCCTCTACAGGAGGGCTGCTCAAAAATTGTCAAAACATTGCCTGGGGACGATTTTTTGTGTTTTTGCTATTGTTGAAGATTTCCCGACTATTTCAAATCCGCCCGAAATCTCTACTAGACTTGAAGATTTCTCGACTCGATTTGGAGATTTCTCGACTAGACCTGAAGATTTCTCGACCAGATTTGAAGCTTCCTCGCTTATTCTATAAACCCGCCTATGGTTTAAAATATTTCTCGACTGGATTCGGAGATTGTTCCTCGGAGCTCCGCCCGTCGGAGTACATGCCCGACCGCAGGGCGGGCAGGCGGGGAGGCCACGGGGGGGCGGGCAGCGGAGCGCGGCAGGCCCTGCCGCTTCCGCCTGTGCAGCTCCGGGGGCGCGCGGTGCCCGTGCCCGGGCTTCGAGGCGGCGGACGACGCAGGCCGGGGGGAAGGAGGCGGAGGGGGGGGGGGGGGGGCGGAGGAGGAGGAGGAGGAGCAGGTAGGAGGAGGAGGAGGAGGAGGAGGAGGAGGAGGAGGAGGAGGGGGGGGCAGGAGCAGGAGGAGGAGGAGGAGGAGGAGGAGGAGGAGGAGGGAAAGAAGAAGGAGGCGAGTCGGAGAATGAGGGAGGAGGAGGAGGAGGAGGCGGAGGAGGGAGGAGGGGAGGAGGAGGAGGAGGGAGAGGAGGAGGGAGGAGGGGAGGAGAGGAGGAGGATGCGCGTCGGTGGTGGTGGGGGAGGAAGAGGGGGAGGAGGAGGAGGAGGAGGAGGAGGAGGAGGAGAGGAGAGGGAGGAGGGGGGGGCGAGTAGGAGAATGAGGAGGAGGAGGAGGAGGAGGAGGAGGAGGAGGAGGAGGAGGAGGAGGAGGGGAGGGGGAGGAGGAGGGAGGAGGAGGGAGGAGGGGAGGAGGAGGAGGAGGATGCGCAGTCGGTGGTGTGGGAGGAAGAGGGGGAGGAGGAGGAGGAGGAGGAGAGGAGGAGGAGGAGGAGGAGGAGGAGGAGGAGGAGGAGGAGGAGGAGGAGAAGGAGGAGGGCGAGTAGGAGAATGAGGAGGAGGAGGAGGAGGAGGAGGAGGAGGAGGAGGAGGGAGGAGGCAGGAGGGTGGCTCATTCTGGTTCCTCCGATTCGATTCGGTTCGATTTCAATGGATTGCAGTTCCGAGTCGATTCGACTTGGGATTCCGATTTGGTATCCGATGTTTCTCGATGGAACCCTACTAGCCTGCCGATGTCTGTACCGATTCGGCTTTTCCTGGCTCGGCTGCCGATCGCCGCCGATCCGATTCATATCGTCCGCCGATCGGACTTCTTGATTCGATTCTGGGCTCTCCTGGGTGGGTGGGACAGGAGGGCGAGGAGAACCCAGACTCCCTCGAGTCAGGAAAAATCACGACCAGCGTTTTTTCGCTATGTTTGGCCTATGAGGGCCCTTACCGGGCCTCGGGACCGTCCGAAAACGATTCAGGATGAAAAGCCGGTCCCGGGGAGTGGGTCCGGACCTCTGGGGGTCGCGTCGTGACAGAATCATGGCGTCGGGGGGCTGTGAAGGAGGAGGAGGAGGAGGAGGAGGAGGAGGAGGAGGAGGAGGAGGAGGAGGTGAGGGAGGAGGATCGAGGTTGAAGGGTCGCGGTTCGAGGGTTGTGCCTTGCAGACGTTTGGGGGTCCCAGAGGTGGCCCGGCACTGGTTCTGGCCAGCTGGAGGGGCGGGCAGGTCCGAGGCGTTGGGTTCGTGGAGGTTTTTGTTTTGTGCTGCTGCCTGCGTTCGGCCTCCAGGGGGGCGGCGTTCGGGCCCCGGGGCCGCCAGAAGCGGATCCGGGGGGCAGGCGGCCCACATAGAGCCCGGGAGGGGCACGGGGACCGACGGATCTGGCCGCATCCGCCCCTCGGGCCGATTTACTATCCGACGAAGGCATCTATACACCACCACCGTGCCAAGGCAGGGCCATCCTGGGCCCCAGGGTGGTGTATAGACCCTCTTGGCCTCGACCAGGAGGGCGCATACACCATCCTGGGGCCCAGGATGGCCCTGCCTTGGCACGGTGGTGGTGTATAGATGCCTTCTGCGAATACTAGGGTCCCAAGTAGTTCAGACCCCCCAGGCGCATCTAAGGAGGAGGATCTCACAACGGGTGAAGGGTCGCAGTTCGAGGGTTGTGTCTGCTCTTCGCGTTGTTGGTGGGCCTCCTGGAGGCTTCTCGTCGACGCGGCCAGATCCCCTTTGGAGCTATGGTCAAAATTCAGCCCAGCATAGGCCCGGGGGCCGAGGTTTGACGCGAGAAGCAGGGCAGCAGGAGGGCGCGGAGAGAGGAGGGAGGATCAAGCGAGTGAGATCCCAACGATGGAAGACAAGGAGCCGCCCTGCGTCCGTGTAGCTGATGGGACATTTCAGAAGATGGTGCGCGGCGCTGAGGCGAGAGCCAGATTTGGAAAGCGTCCTCACCTCCATCCGTGTACTTGGTGACAAGTCGGGCGTGTCCCTCTACAGGATGAATGTACAAAAAAGTCAAATCGTATGGGGACTACTTTTCTTCTATTTCTTTGTATCATGTTTGAGCATGATTTGTGTATGTTTTATATTTCGTCCAGAATCTGCCTGTAGGGGGACATGCCCGACCTGAACTTGGTGGGGACCTTTACGACGACTGCGGGCGGCGCCCAGGGGAAGGCCCAGTCTTGAATGAGCAGTGGCCCTCCATCCGCCTGCCGGAAGCGCTTACGAGAAACAAGAGGAGGCCATATGCGGTGCCCCGGCGAGGCGCACACTTCGGAAGACCTGTGGCCCTCCATCCGCTCAGCTGCGGGGCACTGCTGCGACGAGCGGCGCCGCGCTCGCGGCGAGAGCCGAGTTTGAAGACCATTCGCGGATCATCTGCGCCATGGCTCAGCATCCCAAGCTTCCGGAGCACACAGGGCGACGGCTGCTCAGGCGACCGCGGATCAACGGACTTGCTGCGTTTTGACCCAAACCGTCTCAGAACAGCACTCCTGGGACTTCAACACCTCGAACCACCGTGATTGCTGCGTCTGCTACGTCCCGGCTACCCTACATTCTGCCAGAGCACAGTTCCTAGGACTTCAGCCATACGAATCCGTGACACTGCAGCAGGCTTTTAAGACGACTGTGCGCGGCGCCAGGGCGAGAGCTATACGACCCCCTTCCGTCCTTGGCATAATTACGACACGTTGAGGTGAATGTGCGCGGCGCTCAAGCGAGAGCTACAAATTTCGAAAAGGCGCGGCCATCCACCCGAGAAGCTGCAAGCTTGCAAGACGAATGTGCGCGGGACCAAGGAGAGAGATGCGAAGACCACTTGTTGGAAACCACTTGCCCTCCATCCTTGAGATTGTTGCGAACTTGTGAGACGAATGTGCGTGGCGCTCATGCGAAAGCCACATTTTGAAACGGACCCCACCCCCATCCGCGCAAGTGTTGCAAACTTCATTTCAAGGTTCAGGACCACCTATGGCGAGGAAGTCAAAGGCTAGACGCCCAGCGCGCCCTACCGACACGTTTGGGGGTGCGACAGGAAAGATATATTGATGAGAAAAGAGGAGGATGAGGAGGAGGAGGGTAGGGTAGGGTAGGGTAGGGTAGGGTGGGGTAGGATATGGTAGGGGAGAGGAAATGCGGAAGAAGGGGAGGAGTGGCAGAGGGCTGGATGTAGGAGGCATAGAAGGTAATTGTCAAGAGGTGGAGAGGGAATGGCAGGGGGGTTCAACATGGATTCAACACGAGCCACAATGTGGCGTCCAGACCTCGAGACCTCGAGCGCCCCTCCCCCGACCGCGGCCTCGCCGAGCTGGCCGCACACGAGGACGCTGCACGCGCGCTGCACGACCGCGCGGTGGCCGTCTTCGACGTCGCCTCGAGCCAGAGCCCGCCCCCCGCCTCACGCCGACCAGGCCCGCAGGCCCCACGCCGACCGAGCCAGAGCCAGCTCCTCGATGCGCTGCGCTCGCGCGCACGCTGGCACCTCCCCGCGCGCGCGTCGGCCGCGCGCACGCTGCCCGACCGCCGCCCCGCGGCCCTCCGGGGCGACCGCCGCGCCGCAGCCGCGCCGACGCCCCGCCGCCGCCGCGGGAGCCTGCCGCGGCCGCCGCCGCAGGCGCCCGAGGAGGCGCCGTCGCCGCGCGCGCCGCCGCGTGCGAGGGCCTGCCGCCCGGGGGGGCCTCGGGGAGCGAGCCCGTCCGTCGGTTCGCGCGGGCCCGGCCTCGGCCGCCGCTCCCGCCGCCGCGCCGCGGGCCCTGCGCGGCTGCGCCTTCCTCGCCGCCGCCGCCGCCGCCCGCGCGGCCACGACGGCGCCGTGCGCGGGGCCCGGGGTGGGGCGGCGGCGCCGCCTGCGGCCGCCGCCGCGGGCGCGCCAGCCACCGCCGCGCGCAGGAGGCCCTCGGCGGCCCCGCGGCAGGCGGGACCCCGAGAGGGCCGCCCCGGCAGGCAGGGCTCGAGGCGAGATGTGCGCCGGGAGGGCGGCTCCGCTGGCTGCCTCCGCGGCGCTCCGGAGCCCTGCGCCAGCGAGCGTGCCCAGCCTCGGCGGATCAGCGGCGAGGCCTGCAAGTCCAGCACACAACGCTCGAGCGGGATGGGCACTGGAGTGGCAGGGAGGTGGGGAAGGAGAGCAGGAGGAGGAGAAGGATGGACGGGTGAGAATGGAGAGGGGGAATCATGTGCGGGGGAAGCGGGGGAGTAGGAGGCGAAGAGGGAGGGGAGCCAGGGGAGCTAAGGGAAGGGGCGGAGGAGGATGAGGAGAAGATCGAGGATCACGAAGGGAAGGGAATTGGGATGATAAGATGGAGTAGGAGGACGAGGAGAGGGCCCAACGAGGACGATGGGGTGGCCGAAAAGGAGGAGCAGCAGTAGGAGCACGAGGAGACGACGCAGGCCTGCTGTGCAAGTGCGGCCACAAGGCGAGCATGCACAGGTCCGACACTGCCGAGGCTGGGTTTGAGGCGTTCTCGTCCATGAACAGAGCGTGTCACACCATGGACTGGACAGACACGCCAGGGCTGGTCCGCATCGAGGACGATGAGCTGCTTGCGAAGCTGCAGGAAGCTCTGGATCACACGCACAAGCCAAAAGACAACTGGACTCGTGACCGTGGCTGCGCACTCCATGGCGTCAATGGCTGCGACGCGAAGTGCTGCAGCAAGAACAAAGCGCCGGTGCCCACCAGGTATAAGCTTCTCACCGCGTATCGCAACCAGAACGAGGATCTGTGGCAGAAGTACTCCATGCTCAAGACGGCAATTCGAGAGGAATGCCGACGGCCGAGAGGACTCGAGGATACACTTCCACCGATGACAGTTCACAAGGTGACCACAAGTGGCATGTCTTTGAGCTCTGACTTGGACGAAGAATGCAATGAGTACTATCTCTTCCACGGTAGTTCTTCGCAGAAGTGCACAAGCATAGCCTCCACAAATTTCCGGACCGACCTGGCTGGTGCCGGCGCGACTTGGAAGGAAAAGGGCAAGGCAGTCGGCACACCTCTGTACGGTTTCGGAGTCTACTTCGCAGAGAGAATCCATTTGCGCTGCCGCGCATACCTGCCACCGCGCCTCAGACGTGCCCCCCCCATTCCCCTCGCTGTCTTCCCCACCCGACAGGTTGGGGCTTGTAGATTTATAGAAAAAGAGCTCCCGATCGCTGAGGGGTTTCTGCGCCCTTGGAGCACCGTTTGAGGGCCTGCGTGGGCCGTCTTGGGCTTCTCTTGCAGCTCCCCAGCGGTCAGCCTCAGAGGAGAGAAGACATCCACGGTTGAGCCTTTGGGGCGTTTTGGGGGATCCCTCTGGTGTTTTGTTGGGGCGCCGTTGGAGCCTCCTGGGGATTCGTGGGCGTCTCTTGGGCCTGATGGCGGTCTTGGGCTGTGGAGAGCGATCAATGAAGAGGGGGCACGCTGCCAAGTCAATTCCAGACGCCAAGAGGCTTCGATGTGTCAAAACATGTGTCCTTGAAAAGAGGAGCCACGTGTTTTAGCACTTGTTAGAGTGTCCATTGGCATGGCATCCACAAGTCTTGGGATCTCCTTGGGGCAGGCGGCTCGACATGTCAGTTCGAGTTGCTTTTCTGGGGTCTTCTTTTTGTCCCTGTTATGCACTTGTTAGGGTGTCCATTGTCATGGCATCCACAAGTCTTGGGATCACCTTGGGACAGGCGGCTCGAACTGTCAGTTCGAGCTGCTTTTCTGGGGTCTTCTTTCTGTCCCTGCTATGGCTCTCTCATGGGCCGCCCTGGGCGCCTCTGGGGTCGTGCTGTGGGCTTGTTGGGCCGTCTTTGGGCGAGTTTGGGAGCCTCTTGAGCCGTTGTGGACGATATAATCGGGTCGGGCGAAAGGGGGGGATTGGGAAAGGGGGGGTTACGAAATTTGCTGCATGCAGCTGGTTTCGGCCCCGCCGAGGGGCCCCTTCCTCGATACATGGTCGCCTCCCGGCGCCGGGAGGCGCCGGGAAAATCAGCTACGTGAGCTGATTCTCAAACCCCCCCTTTGCCATCCCCCCCTTTCGCCCGACCCGATATAAAGACGAAAAACAGGTCAGCGAAAAAACATGTCTTCCTCAGGGATTGGAGCGATTCTTGCGTCTTCGGGCCTTCGTGGGGGCTCCGTTGGAGCTCTGGTGGGGGTGTCGTGGAGGCCTCTTCGGCAGTTTTGATGCCATCCGGATTGTTTTTTGATGAGTTGTCGCCGGCGCGTTGGAGTCTTGGTTTGAGGCAGCAAGGTTGACATTTCCCAACGCGCGTTCTCGTGGGGGAATCATTTGAAGCAAAATAAGTGCGTCATGTTATCCTTCCTCCTTCATTCTCCTCCCCCGCACCCTCCTCCCTCCGGCCTCCAACGAGTTAGCCGTTCTGGCTTGAGGTGTGTGAGCTTGCGACAGCATGCCTTCATGACGGCATCGTGCTGTCGCGAGCCGTTTTTGGCGCTGTCCGCTCACGGGCCGAGGGTCAGACCCTCTCTTCGCGCTTCCGCGGGAGCCGCCAGTCACGTCTCGAGGGGAGCGACGTCGGGCGGCAGAGGCGGGAAATGTGGTGGCCAAGGGAAGTCACGGGCGCCGTGGCACCGCGGCTGGGGCAACCCGCACTTTGTCGCAAGCGAGTGCCCGAAGCTGGGTGACCACGATATGCACGCTTGGCTTCCTCTGCTGCCTGGTCTTCAACCTCGTGCGGGTCGCATCGGCGCTGGGCGCGACATCGCAGCTCCACGCAGCTCCACGCAGCTCCACGCACGCGGCAATGCTCCTTTTCTGCGGCTGCACCAAAGACGAGGCCAGGTTCTTCTCTTGCAAGCGCTGCGGCGCCATCCAGTCGGAAAGCATGGTCGAATCCGTTTCGTCCTGGTCTGGAGGTCCTCCCGTCCTTCCGCCAGGTGCACGCGCAGGAGGAGACCAGCAGGGCGGCGCTGGCAGGGGTGCGCACGGCTGCGCACGGAAGGGCGGCGCGGCAAGGATGCAGCAGCCCTTGGCTCAGCCCCACCTCTCAGTGCGGATGAATATAAACAGCTTGCCGTCCTCTGCGACAAGCTGGGCGAGAAGCAGAGTGCGTCGGCGCATCGCAGGGCGACGAGAGCGCTGCCCAGCCCGAGGGACGCCCCCGAGTCATTGCAAACCCGCTTGTAGCGAGC